CTGGCCAATCAGAGCACACCTCACTTTTCAGACCGATGAGCTTTGTAAAAATCGACGGGTTTCAGAAAGGCGGGGCATAGAGGAGAAACAATAATGTACATTATATGGAAAATAATGTGTTTTTTTAACCTTAAACCGCATAAAAACATTGCATTACACCAAATACACAACATAATGTTATTTTTAGCAACGTCATATGACCCCTTTAAAAGTATAAAAATGTATTATGGAATATTAATGAAATAAAAGGCCATTTAAGTGTACTTAATGAGAATAAACTTTCATGACTTTGTTTCTTGGGACATTTAAATTCACTTTAAAAAAATAACTTTGTAATAGCTACTTTCAAATGAAAAGATTTACTTTAAAATACATTTTATGTTTTAATAATCTTTAAACTGCTTTATTTGATTTGTGGACTGACATACTAAAGCACATGTCAGTACTGGATTATAAATTTGACTGTGTAAATATAGTTAAATGTATACATCTTTATCATTAGAAATGTGTAATTAAAAATATATTTAAATATATATACATGATGTACAAGTTTCAACAAAATTGACATTGAAGTATATTTTAGTTTACCATATACTTTTCAATATTCAGCAGTGCACTTTAATCATATTTCCAAGACAATAGAAGTGATTATGAAATTACATGTATGAACTTATTTTCTATGCAAGTATGTTAAAAGCATTCTTACGCTTAACTTAAATTATAATACATTTTAACACGTAATACATACGTTCAAATAACATGTAATTAAGTGTCTTAAATTATTACTTTCAGTTTGCACGCAAGTATATTCTTTTAAGTATATTATTTCTGTGATAAGCACTCTTAAAATGTATGGCAAAGTGTGCTTCTTTTTCACAAGGGCAGTCTAGTTCAGGGTTTTCCCTCACTGTAAAAAATTTCAAGCGGTTTCAACTAATTATTATTTAGTAACAAGTTCCACAGAAATTTTACGTTCAGTCAATTTCTAACTTCAGTGTTATCTGAATTGTTATTTTTTAGTTGGCTCAACCTTTAGTGAACTAGTATTATAGTCCAAACCAAAATGTTTTAATTGGTCAAACATTTAGAAGACTGCAGCAAGTTATGTCAATTAAAATTCAACCGTTTACTCTATGTGTTT